CTATGCCACAGTATTAAATCCGAGACCAAATGCACAGCGCTGCTCATTCCTAAAAAAAGGAAAATCCAGTCAGGAAGCCATGTATTCCTATCAATGGAAAAACATAAAATTTCGCAATGAGGTTAAATTACTAGGGCTTGTGTGGGATAAAGGACTTACCTGGTTATTTCACATAGCATACCTTAAAACAAAAACTCAAGCCATTGCAAACAAACTACGTCAACTGCAGGGTACCGCTTACGGAAGGAACCTTCATTTCCAAAAATTCACTTCCCCTTTTACTTTCAATTACTGTATAAAACAGTAATTGAAAAAATGGTTACCTACGCCGCCGATGCCATCTGGGCGTCACCAATGGGAGGACGCAAAGATAAACAGCTACTCTCAGTACAACGGCCATTTGCCCTCACCATAACTAGAGCCTTCCGAACAACATCCACAGAAGCGCTAAACGTTTTAGCCGGCCTGCTTCCACTCCACATCTACGTTGAGCATGAGGCAGTGCTAGCAAAGTTACTCCATCTGCAACAGGAAATTACCTACTATGGCTCCACATTCGCAACTACAGAGTTTGACCTACGATGTACTGCATTCCACACCCCTCCAGCAGACAGAAGGAAAGGCATCAAAGTCATACTGACACAGCACAGCGACTCAGAGCTGACCTCAACTATCTTCACAGATGTCTCAAAATCTGATGCAGGTGTAGGAAGTGCCTTAGTCCATCTCACTAACTCTGTACAGTCATATCACTGGAACGGGCACCTCGCGGAACATAACAGCGTCTTCCAGGCAGAGGCCTTAGTCTTGGAACAAGCAGTCCTCTATGCATTACACAGAATCTCCGAAATATACAAAATAATCTCGGACAGCCAATCTCTGCTACAAGCGATCCGTAATCCTTCACATTATTCACAACCAGTAAGGTCCATACAACAATTCTTCGCAACAACACGCATCTGAACATCACGCTTCATTGGACCTAGGCACATGCAGGGAATGAGCTCGCTGATTCTCTAGCCAAAGAAGCGGCTTTTAATATAGAGGCAACCCAGTGCTACTTCCCGGCATCAAGATCCTATCTTAAGCGCCGTATTCTGAACACTTCCCTACAAAAATGGCAAACGGAATGTGACAACAGCGACAAAGGGCGTCGTAACGTATGATTTTCTTCCAAAAGTCTGCATAAATAGACTTTACTCTGTAGCACAGCTAGATATATCAGTGGAGATGGCACATTCCCTGAGTATTTCTTCACCCGAGCCATCACGAATTCGGAGGCCTTTGTATTTGCGGAGCACAAGGAAGCCCTGACGACTATGTCACGGAATGTGCACTAACCGAAAGGTTCCATATCAGAATGCCTTCCACCAATATCAACCCATTCAGACGGTTTATATTGAGAACTCCAGCCCTACGCCAGAGAATCTACAACCACAACATCATTAACCTGCTAATGTCATCAGGACTGGATATTGTGGCCACGAACTAAGTAAGATCTATGTCAATTTTCTTCCTGAAACGTTTCCATGGCGTTTGTACGAGCAAATTTATTGTTTTACTCCACCAGCGACAGTGCCTACGAGTGCCACTAGTGCCAAAATTGCAGCAGTAAAAATTAATTAACTAATTAAGTAATTAAGCAGTGAGGTATATAAATATGCAAGCTTACATGAATTTATGTATTCAATGTAAACTACGATACATGCGTACTTTATGTAGCCAAGAATTGTTGTATATATATATATATATGTCAACAACCATACTAAGTACTCATAACTAATGCATATAGGATAATGTAATCAACTATTCGAATGTTTTTATTGCAATCAATTATTTTAAGTATATAACCAGTGTTTAAATGTATAAACGGTATTCATAACATAATTATGAATCTATTATGTTTTTATTGCAATCAAGTTTTCAAGTATTTAACCATTATTTAAATGTATAAACGGTATTCATAACATAATTATGTATCTATTATAACAACACATGTATGTACTCAAATAACGCAAGCCCCAAATAATGAATCTAAACAGGTCTAATGAATGGCTTACCGTAATCAGGCTGTCAAGTACATAATTAATGAATTCATGTAACTTTATCGTGTATCCAATGTATTAATGTATTTTATTGATGGATTATATTTCATGCATTTAAGAATTATGTATATATTATTAGTAGTATTTGTTGATGTATCTAAGAATTATGGCAACGTGCGCCCAAGAGCATCACCAACGCATTCTAACAGCTAATATTCATGCAGCTAACGCATTCATGTAACATCATCCAGGTCCCTGTTCGTTCATGCGACTTCACAAAAAAGCAAATGCATTCCCAAGGCAGGCCTCCTGGGACTCGGGAGCTGCCGGTACAAGATACTGGAAGGCATGGGACTAGACATCAGGTGTCCCCGTTTTCCGTCATTTATTTAACACATGCAAGGTTATAGAAGATGAATATTTTTTATTAGTTGAAATACACAGTCTGTAATTTCCTGATACTTTTTTATATATATTATTATTGATGCTGAAGTGAAATAAATTTCAAGACAGGTGTGATAGCATTTCTTTATTTTTATACAAACGGATACAGAAATTTTCGAACTCACGAAAGAATTAAAACTAACAAGAGTTGAACAAATATTGCGTGAGGAACTCAATAAAAGGTATTATTCACATACGTATTGATAGGTTAGAAATGTTAGTTTTTACTCTGAATGCGAAAATGTTCTCCCACTGAGCTAATGCTAACAATGATTTTGAATGATTGTTACGCGATTCCATACGCACTGTTCACGTATCTTTTGCACGTTATACAGTTAATGACAGTTTCCAAAAAATGTTTACAATGTTAAATGAAGATATAACATCTATTCTTAATCACAATTAAAAGTGTTGAAGTGTACCATACAGTCATTCGACTATTTGCAAAATTTGTTAACAAGGAAATTAAAAAAAGATAACAGATGTTATTATTCGTATTTCAAAGAATATAACCAAACAGGCGATCCCCGAAATGCTCGTGAAAATGAAACTATAATTCCGAAAGCAAGACAGCTCCAAACAGATTTAGCATCCTTTGAAGATCTTTATAAGTGCAAAAGATTACTTGCATTTGTTGAAAAGCCAAAAAGGATGAACAAAAGTGAACAGCGTATGAAGTCACCAGGCTTTCGCGATAAGATATTTTGAAAACTGAATCGTGGCTTCTTCAAAAATCGAATTCAAGATCTTTCATTTGCTAGTGGGGTGACTTGGCTGCTAGAACTTTTAATTATATATTATTATCAGAGAATATCGATTTATTTTACGGCATTTCGACAAAGCCAGGGATGCAAATAGATATAAAATATTCTTAATTTAATAGACGTCAAGATCAGAGTCAACACTGATGATCCCGATGTGGACAATAACCATTGCTTTTAATGTTTCAAATACTAGAGCTTCGGGCATAGTCAGGTGTTTATGAAACTTGTAAGGTATTTTCTCCCTCCTTTCTACATGCCTTCGTGGCGTAATTGGAAGTATAATCGACGCGTATTCCAGAAATCCAGGGTTCGAGTCCTGGCGAGGGCATTGCACATTTTTCATATCTCCTGCTTCAAAAAAACTTAATGACTCTACAAGTGGCGCGCGAACTAAAAGGTGGTGAACGATAATTCGTCACCACCAGAATTTGGCTATTGGGTTTCCTAATCCCCAGTCGCCCCTTAAAAGCAGGAGAACACAAGGATTTTCTCCCTCCTTTCCGCATGCCTTCATGGTCTAACTGGAAGCATACTTGACGCGTATTCGAGAAGCCCAGGGTTCGAGTCCCGGCGAGGACACTATATATTTTTCACGTTTCCTGCTTTTAAAAAAAAAAAAAGAAAAAGAAAAAGAAAGAAAGAACCCTTAAGACGATATAAACCAAGGCGTATTAAATGTTCAAATGAACTCGAGCCTGATAGTTTAAACTTTCTGGAGAAAAAAATGCACCCGTTTTGAAATCTGTGAAGAACAGCATATTAAAGTTTCCAAAATGCACAAAGAAGAACACGATAAAGTATTTAATCCCAAGCATGGGGTACTTCTTAACCTTACTGCTCAAAAGTGCCAGCAAAACTCCTGTTATGGACATTGTTTCACAGCATTATAAAGTAAAAAAAACCAAACGGCAAAAGCTCGGTCCAAGAACCTGAAAAAGACTTGGCATCATTTGAATTCGATCTATAATAGATGCAGAAAGTTACTTGCAGTTGTCTGAAAGAGAAATGAAGATTTTGAATAAAAACTAAGATATTTTTTGGAAAATAAACAGACCTTCTCCAGAACTTGAATACACGATCTTTCATATGTCAGCGGAATCACCGACCACTACATCACAGGGTCGCATAACAGGAATACCTTTCATTTGAATTAAATATTTGTTTGAGCGGAGAAATAAACCTTCTTTTTTTTAACATCAGTCCAGAAGGGCTAGTAGTCTCAAAACGGGATTTTGTGTTGAACCGCTATAGAATCACTTTTGAAATTGTTGGCACCAAATATTATCATCCGCTATTATGTTTAAAGAAATTGAATAATGAAGAATTTTCATGATTGTATGCATACTTTTCGCATTGCGAAAAATCAAGGCCACCTATTTGTGAAGGAATTTAGGAGGTCTGCAGAACCTTTCGTTATTTTCTCTTTCCATTAATATGGTTACCTATGTTACCCTCTCCCTTTCGTTACTTTGCAGAGAATGCTAAAATCCCTGAGAACATTCGAAATTCAGCTTTTTTTTTTTTTCCCAGTTTCTTCTCTAGTTCTCTCTGGTAGTGATACCTTTTGGCAAAATAGTTTTCGAAAACAGAGAACGTTTTTTTGATAATAACCCGTGTTCTGTGAATCTACGTTTTTGATAATAACCCGTGTTCTGATGACACCCGTGTTCTGTGAAAAGTCATGAGATAAAAATTTTTCGTTCAGCGGTTATCTATTGTTTTGCGATTAGGAGCTGATACCAGCAGTTTCTTTTTCCAGGTGCGCACATATAGACGGAAAATTCTCTAAGGACTTATGTGTAAAGCAATGCTTGAAAATTGATGTAGAAGTGTAATTTTCTTGAAGATTTTTGTTTTTTATCACTATGGCCAACTATTCTTCGTTGTTTGTAGATTTATACAATACTGTTCTGGACAAAGAAAAGTGCCAATGTAATGTTAGCGACAACAAAATCCAAAATGCAATAAGAAACTTAAAAGATGCTTACATGCCAAATCACTCGTGGGAATCGTTGACAGAAACTTCTGTTATTGCGAATTACAATGATCCTGCCCATCGCTGTGCTTATTTACATAAATATGCCATGTGTTACACAGGCATGGTGAGTACATTGTTCGAAATGGCCATTAATGTGAATGCTGACATAAGAGAGTACATTGATTCCAGAAAGTGTTTGAATGTGTGCAGTTTAGGTGGAGGACCTGGAACAGATATAATAGGAATTTTAACTGTTATTTGTCGCTTCGGGAATTTCCCGGCTTTCATGACTGTTGTTGATTATGCAAGTGAATGGCAGATAACATTTAAGAATATCATAAAAGAAATAAAATCATCATTTCCTGAACACGTTCGAATGATGGTATCATCTAATTATTTCAAATATCAGTACTTAAATGGTGATTTACTATCACAGGTGACAACGAATTCAAACATTCGTAATGCAGTGATGTCAGCCGATATTGTTACAATGGTAAAGTTTATTTCTGCGGCGGCATGCGACAAGACTAGGAAGATGGTTAAGGTAAGTGGTAAGAGATATTGTTAAATGGCTACTAAACTTATTTTTACATTTCACAACATTATTTCGCAATTCTTTTTAAAAGAAATTTTTAAGGGGTTTTGGAACCCCAAAATCTTCAAAAAATTGTGATTTCGGATTTTTGCATTTTCAAATTCTCTACACTTTTATCTTTCTAAAAATACCATTCTTTAATATCTATGAAAATTAGAACTGTAAAAAAATCTTGTTTTAATTTGTCATCTACTGCTTTGATTAATGAGGATTTTTACATAAAAACGCGTTTTTCTCCAAATGTGATGTTTTTATACTCGATATACCTTTTCTCTGGAACTACTGCTCACAGTTATCTATTTATGGCTTATTTATTAGGTTCTCTAATATTTACTGAAATGAGCTTTTTGTAATAAACTTAGAAAAAAATTTTTTTTTAATTTTTTTGTGTGAGAACTTGTTAAATTTTACTATGCCTAACAAAAATATTCTGTAAATTACTCTAAAATTCAAAATGTTTCAAAATCTCATTTCAGTATAATCAGATAGGTATACATTAATTACAGAAAAAATTTCAGGCTTGTATCTACAGCAGATTTTGAGAAAAGGTACATCGAAAATGGCCAATTTAACATTGTCGGTATAGGGGTTTCTGATACCCCTTAAAGAGATGTTGTTGTTTTTAGGGTAAAACCAACATTCTTATAACGCAGCAAGTTGTTAAATCACACAGTCTGCTAAATGATTAAGATGCATAAGATTTTCTTACATACTGTTACAGTGCGTTTTAATATTCAAATGTAAGAGAAACATGTTAAAGTAAAATTTAAAATACAAAAAACAAAAAGCTACGTTAGTTGGGTGTAGATTTTGAATTAAACTCCACCGATTTCGAATGTAATCAAACACAGGTTCTTCATCTTCAGGAAAAAAATATTCTTACCGGTTGGAAGTAAAAAATAAAACAGAAAAAAAGGAAAATGCCAGTGTAAAATTAAGCAGAAAAGTAGCCTTAATTTGATGCAGATTTTGAATTAAACACATTTTTGGCCAAATATTTTCTGCTCCTAAAGAAAAGGAAATTGTGTTTGATCGCTCTCGAAATTGATAGTTTTATTCAAAATCTTTGCCAAACTAAGCTCGCTTTTTTATTTTTAATATTATTTATTGTATGAATTATTTTGTTCAATTGTTAACAAGTTGCTAAATATAGCTCTTTATTTAAATTTCAAAAGTTTTAAACAACCAACGACAATAACTATCAATAGATTTTACTTCAAATTTGTCTTCAAGTCTTAATTTTTCAGCACATTACAAGTTACTAGCAGTTTTGTTCTCACATTGGGGAAAGTTTACAAATTAAAGCTATCTTTATCTACCTTTACTTCGTTACTTTCTTTTCTAGCGCTTTCTGTAAGTTTAACTAATTTTTTAAAAAGTTTATCTTAAAGTTAATTGTAATTTTGCCGTTTCATTAAAAGCAATGTAATAACTAGTTTTACGGAATTAAGGTAGAAAGCGTTCCATGCATTCTTTTCTCCTTTCGGTTCCGCCCCATCAGTGACCGAGAACAGCCGAATAATAATAGTTTGATTCGTGTTCGAACCTATGCGAACCATGGAGGTAGGAAAGGGAGGAGGGGCCATTCTGCGCTAGAAGTGAAGCACTGCTTTGAAGCTTGGGTCACCAGACGGGGTGTTCTTTGCTTACATTCAGAAGCTCGCTTGACAAGATTCTGATAGTATTTCGACACACGACAGTTCCATAGAAATCGAAAAAGGGACACTCTCGCATGAAAGAAACATTCATAGTGTGATGGATAATAGCAATTTGTATAGTTTACTGACATTTACGCAAAAATCACATCTTGGTTATTTTTCGATAACTAACAACAGCAATTTTGATTATGAATTTGTTTATAAAATTCTAAGCTGTTGCACTACAAAAATATAGATTTTAAGAAAATTGCTAAAAGAGATCTCCCAAAATTTATTTTCTAGAAGATTTGAAAAGTTTGAAACTTGATGGCTAAATGTAAATATAAAATTATGTATGTTAAAATATTTGTAATTAGGCACATAGGTCAGATTAAGTTTTTTATTAAATAGAGTAAACGCATGCAAGGGCTATCTGCCTAAAGAGAGAGATGCCATCGTGGAGGAATTTTGAAGAAAAACTGACCTTTGAGTGGGGTATTAAAAATAATACTTATAATTTTCATTCAAATTATATTCATATATATTTTTTATGTAAAACTTTCGGGTGTATGCTAAATTAGTGTAAATTACTTTACACGAAAAATATAGTGAATACACAGAAATTAAGATTTGCACATGCCGGAAATGATAATAGGAAATATGTATGGGTATTTATGCATGTGCTTGCAAAAAGCATGTATCTGCCTTTGACAAAAATTTTAAATATTCATTAAATTATTTATAAATGTATTTGAAATGAAGAATTTATTCACTTATAAACAACTGTGAAAGTACTGTGAAGAAATCTAATGATTAAATGTATCTAATTTATAATGATTATAAATGTTATCTAAATATATAATAACCTTAATATTGAATTGTAAACATAAATTGAAATCCTGTTGACAAATACGTTATAAAACTATTTATTTAAGCAAGAATTGTTCGTATTGGAAAGCAATCTGTTAAAAGGTATTGTAAAGCAAATGCTATAAGATGCGCACTTAAGAACGTAATAAAGAGTTTTGGAATATGTATTGTTGAAATGAAGGGTAAAAAAAAAAATCTGATAAGTAAATTAAAAGAATTATTCCCTTTACATTTTATAATAACTCAGTTACAAGTTTTAAATAATACTTAAAAAAAAAAAAACTTATTTTTTTCCCTTTCAGAAATGTTCAGAGAAAGTCAAATACTATTTAATACCTATTTAATAAAATGAACCGAATAGAGCATTAATTCTAAATTGACTTACATTTTTCGATTTAAAAGAAGCCAAAAAATCATGTCATATTTAAGAAAGTATTTTAGGAAGAAGCTCTATAAATAGAAAAGAAATAATGCATAATTTTAATATTAATAATACAATAAACTTTGATCTTAATTTTTGTACCTTAATCGAATGAAATCGAATTACCTTAATTTTTTTTCTAATGTAATTAACGAAAACTTGTGAAAATATTTCATTCAAATTAAACCATTCTGAGAAAACTGTCCTGTGAAAAGTATAGCATTTAATTCCGTTCAGAATGAAATGTTGTTTAAAATATGTTGTTTTCATATACTAGGACTCTGAAGTGTTGTAGAAAAAGAAAATATATACATTTATATGTATATTTGCGACGTAATTACAAAATATTTACACCCGAACGCGTCAAATCCCATAGAACTCAATGGTAAATGACCCAATGTTTTGGTCACCACGTAGGGATCGCCGGTGTTTCAGAGCAGGGTACGGAGAAACTTGTTTAGGGCGACTCCTTCTTACTTCCTACCTCCATGCTAGCTACGCCCCTGCATTCAGCATTATCCATAAATACTTAATCGCCATTAAGAGATTTAAATAAATTGCTTTCTTAGTTAATTAAGCACAGACAACAATGCAGAATGCAACTGAATGTTGCTTAGAACGCTAATTAAGCGGAATTTAAACTAGACTTTAAAAAATGCGTGAGTTGTTAAATACTTCAAATATCTTGGCGTTGTGAGCCAGATCACCTCACTTTGACTGCTCATTTTGGCGCTTAGCAGATCAAAACGACTTTGTAAGAAATGCAGGTATCCCGTACTCCTGACACCATACACACTTAAGAGATTGTGCTCGTACAGATTCTGATTTTCTCTTGCACAATCATAATTTGAGGAATTCTGCCCAACATTGCTATAAAATATTAATTAAACATTTGCAGCGCTGATTCTTTTTATTGATCGTTAAGAAATTCTGCGCGAAAGATGCCATTTTAGCGGTTTCAGAACCTCTATATTTGGCAGCACAAATGAAAATAGAGCTAAATTGTTTACTTCTGGTACACGAATATACGATAATCTGAGATAAATGTTTCATCGTAGCAGAATGTGATCTTTAGAAGCCAACCACACTGATATAAATTACAGAAAATTGTCAGATGATAAATTAGTGACATTCACGGCTTTTTAGATATTTGTGAAAAGTTCAAACACCGGCAAAAGGAAGAGAATGGGATCTTGACGAGCCACTTTACTCAGACATCATGAAATCATTGTAGAGGAAAGCACTATTTCCCAAGCTAAGCTCCTAGCAATCCTTGACGCCGAAAAACACGACTTTTAGTAAGCTATAATGCGCCATTTTATCTTCATTCACCCCAGTATCATCAAAACGAGTAACATTAAATAACAAATCCCCTTAATAAAAGAAATCAAAAGCCTTACACTGTTTAATCAAGAAAACCTCCTTTACTTGAGATACTAAATAAAAGCCATTTACAAGATAGAGAGTAATGAATGCACTAATTTACTGGAGAAAGAGGCAGATCTTGACACTACGTCGCAGATATACTAGTATTGGTCCGGAATTCAGTGCCCTTTCTCAACAGAAGAATCCAGAGTCGTAGCTAGGGTTTCCAGCGCCCAGGGACAACTGAAGATTTCGCGCCCCTACTGCTTGCCAAGGATGGAAAACATTTAATTCTAAAATGTCGCATGGAGGTAGGAAAGGAAGGAGGGGCCAGTCGGCACTAGAAGTGAAGCACTACTTTGAAGCTTGGGTCACCAGATGGGGTGTTCTTGTTTACATCAGAAGCTCGCTTGACACGGTTCTGATGTATTTCGACAACACGACAGTTCCATACAATCGAAAGAGACACTTTCGCATGAAAAAACATGCATAGTGTGATGGATAATAGCAATTTGTATAGTTTAGTGACATTACGCAAAAAAATCACATCTGGTTATTTTTTCGATAACTAACAACAGCGCGATTTTGATTATGAATTTGTTTTATAAAATTCTAAGCTGTTGAACTACAAATACAGATTTAAGAAAATGTTATGC